CAGTGTTTATATATAACTAAAGTAGTGTAGTGATCTAAACGCTCTTATATTTCTTTACGGAGGGAGTAGAAGAGTAATATAATGGCTTTCACAGACCTTGGTTCACATATGGAGTGAGAAGAATGAAGTCCATGTATCGTTAGATCTGGATTTAGCTAGTGTCTGACAGCTGGTCTACTCGCGCTGTAGGTTGATGAGTATTGTAAGCTGTACAAGGGCGACATCCACATCAGCAATGCAACGGCAATTCAACTGACGAATCACGCGAGGAACTTATGGAAGAGCGCGAGGGGGACTGTCATCCGCATCGAGCTTCTTGTGTTGCTCGCCTTGTCTTTCTTCCTGATCCTCACCGCCTTTGGGTCGTACCGTCGCCGGAGCAAGCACTGGCTCATCCAAAAGGGAGTCTTTGGCGCGTATATCTTGTCCCCTACACCGGTCACCGGTAGCCTACATTCTGGGCTCAATGCAGTCCTCCCCAGTGAAGAGCAGCATGTACACTCTTTGGGCCATATCGCTCTTCCTCCTTCATGGTTGCCCCGACTCTATCACAGCTTACAGTCTCGGTGACAACTATCAAGTCAGTAGACTCAGTTACCAAGCCATCCTCTACAATCTATATGGGGGGTTTCTTATACTCACCGACCCAAACCTTGCACGAGTCAATTCATGGAGGACTCTGCTAGTTTATTATCTATTTGCCCTCTCTATTTTAAGATTTATGCAGAGAATATCAGCATGTCTGCTGTTGATTAGCTCATCAAACTTGACCAAGATGGTCGCTGATTACATGTGAACTGAGCACAACAGGGGAAATCTGTGTGACTCTGACCCGACCACCACCACCATGGAAGGTTGCCACTACCTGGTTGATTGGCCCCTCAGCAAATTCGAGCTGGATGAGGAGATATATATATAACACATAACAGCAGATCATAATGAAGCCATCCTTGACATAAAGAAGATATGGTCGTGCAGCTCCATAGGCCCAGAGCTGAAGGATGATTGCCTTTCCTTCTCTCTATTCCATCTGCTGAGAAGGCGTTGTTTTGAGTTTGCCTGCGGTGAGTCTAAGACGAGATCACATGATTTTGTCTTCAAGGGGCTGCTATCGGGGAATGACTACAAGAGGGTTTTCAAGGTGATTGAGGTCGAGTTGGCATTCATGTATGATTTCTCTTTTACCAAGTATGCTGTTCTCTATTATAGATCTACGGCTGCGACAACCTGGTCATTGGTTACAGCCACCAGCATTGCTCTTACAATATACATGGTGGCCACTCGTGTGGACAAGTATAGCTGTGCTCGGTCTCAGGATCTCTCTTATGTCATCAACACCAAGGTTGACGTGATGATCACCTTACTCATACTTGCATCTGCTGTTCTGCTTGAACTGGTGCAGGTACTGGTTTTCTGGACAAGTGTTTGGGGCAGAGTATCATTTGTTTGTCAGCATATCAGGGGAAGCGGTTGCTTGACGGGATTAAAAGAGCTTCTTGATGTAGAAGTGCATGCTCTAGCCAATGCAACCAAAAAACCGATCTTATGGAAGAGACTAGGCAGCACATTATACGTCAACACTCCCCCTCACGTGTGGCTCCCTCAGGCCTAAACGTGAACCGAAAGTGGGCTGCAATTTAATTGTGCCAGCCGGGTCTTGAACTCAAGACCTCTTGGCTCTGATACCATGTAGAAGTGCATGCTCTAGCCAATGCAACCAAAAGACCGATTTTATGGAAGAGACTAGGAAGCACATTATACGTCAACACTCCCCCTCACGTGTGGCTCCCTCAGGCCTAAACGTGAACCGAAAGTGGGCTGCAATTTAATTGTGCCAGCCGGGTCTTGAACTCAAGACCTCTTGGCTCTGATACCATGTAGAAGTGCATGCTCTAGCCAATGCAATCAAAAGACCGATCTTATGGAAGAGACTAGGCAGCACATTATACGTCAACACTCCCCCTCACGTGTGGCTCCCTCAGGCCTAAACGTGAACCAAAAGTGGGCTGCAATTTAATTGTGCCAGCTGGGTCTTGAACTCAAGACCTCTTGGCTCTGATACCATGTAGAAGTGCATGCTCTAGCCAATGCAATCAAAAGACCGATCTTATGGAAGAGACTAGACAGCACATTATACGTCAACACTTGCCAGGATTGGCACCTATTTTGAGTCAAACAAACATTACTGGCAGCACGAGCTTGGACAGTACTCGCTACTTGAATCGGTCAGCTACTGTTGCAATCCATCAGAGAGTGAGCTTAAACCGCTCGGCAGGGTCAACACTCTTTTGGAGCAAATGGCCGGATACTTGCAGCTTTTCGCATTCGCGCGCAACAAGTCTGAGCCATAGTGTATTGAAGATACGCAGCAAACTTGGAAAACCCATCAAGTTGCCTGACCAAGTAAAGGAGGCACTCGTAGGGTCCCTTGTAGACACTCAAGGTAGACTAACGAAAGGGAAATCATCGTTGGTGTCCAATGGAGCAGAGGCACTCTCGTGGGCTTGTGAATGGGACGTGCACCCAGGCACAAGCTGCGTTATTTTGAGTTGGCACATTGCCACATGTTACTGTGAGTTGGCGGCAGCATCGCTCCGATCGGAGTCGGAGTCGGGGTCGGAGGAGCACAAGTAGAGTCAAAGGATTTCCAAGTCGCCACAAAACTCTCCAAGTACTGTGCATACCTTGTGGTCTCCGAACCACGTTTACTTCCTGGCCACCCCTCCGACACAGAGCAGGTGTTTGATGCATCTGCGGCGGAGGCCATAACATACCTGCAAAGCATGACCAACAAGTACGAGGCCATGAAAAGCTGGGAAATGCCGCCGGCAACAATCTTCGGGAGAGGCGTGGCGCTGGGGAAGCAGCTGGAGGGGATGCCAGAGGGCACCCGCTGGAAGGTGATGGCTGATTTCTGGGCCGAGATGTTGCTCTACGCCGCACCATCGGATAATGTCGATGGGCACATCCAGAGGCTCGCAAATGGCGGGGAGTTCATCACCCACCTGTGGACTTTGCTCTATCATGCTGGCATCCTTAGTACTAGGGAAGACGAGCATCAAGTTGGAGCCGTGTAATTAGTGTCTTTTCATATAATAATGGTATGTGCTGTGTATCTTCTTTCTACTTGGCCTGCCCAATGCTGAGTAAGTAAGAGTTAGCATGACACATTGCCTTATGTATTGCCTTACTGTGGCTAGTGCCCGTGACGTGTTATTATTTATCTAAGTTTGAAAAAAAACCATTAAAGTCTTGTATAACTATTTGGTGATTGATTAATTTATAAGACTAGGAACACATATAACATGGAGCTAGGCTGACAGGCAATTAGTGTAATTTGTTTACTTTCATATTTGCCTCTTTATTGAGGGGCACCCAGAAGTTATTTGTTGTGTAACCATGAACATCAGATGATTTTAGGACGAAGAAAGAAGCTCCGATTTACTCACCAATTCTTTAATTTTGTTGTTCTGATGAATTGTTCAGCTTCGGATGCACCGTCGATTTACTCACCAATTCTTTAATTTTGTTGTGCTGATGAATTGTTCAAGCAGCTTCATGTGCTGGGCTAGAAAGCCGACATCCGCCACTGCACAACCTTACCCTCTGCGTCAAGCCATCGCCCATAGATTGCATCTCACGGTCAAAGGCAACCACCAGATCAGAAGGGAGAAATCCTCGCGAAGATCTTTCGGTGGCCATCGCAATCCGTAGAGAGGCGCCACACCAAGCCAGAGTGATCAGTGTGGACCAACATATACTGTGCAGCACGTCATCATCATCATTGATTGCCACCTCGCCGAAGAGAGTTCTGTCCAAGCCATCGACCTAGGGGCCGACATGATCGGATCTGAAGCATGGAAAGCAGAATTGTCCAGCAGCCAAGAACCACGGTGCCGCATCACGCATGGCACCAACACCCATAGTCCCATGGCCTAACTCCACCGAGACGTGGTCAGACTTAATGCCAAGTAGCAGCCCAGCCGCCACAAAAGCAAACAGATCTGGATGATGCATGCAGCCATTTTAATAATTATTCACAAAGAGGTAATACATCAATAAGCCAGAAGCCACCACAATATCTTTTTTCTACCATGTGGAGACTTACTACACTGGTATACTCCAACCAACATGTTATATATGGTCCAAGTTGAGGCACAAAAGAAACCCATCGGCTCGATATTGAGTTGTGGAGGCCCAGTAGAAGCCTGAGGCGCCCTTCCGGCTGAAGATCCGCGACAGCATCTCTCTTCCGGTGAATGGAATAGAGGAAGGAACACTAGTAGAACAAGGCCCATCTGTCCCGGTACCAGATGCCCATTTGTCCCGGTACTGGAATCGGGACTAAAGGGTCGGTACTAAAGCCCATGACCTTTAGTCCCGGTTCGCTCACGAACCGGGACAGATGGGGCTCCACGTGGCCGCTGCGGCTTGCCCAGGTAGGAGGGCCTTTAGTCCCGGTTGGTAACACCAACCGGGACCAAAAGGCATCCACGCTTCAGCGGTTCAGAGGCTGGGGTTTTTGTCTTTTTAGGGGGAGGGGGTTGCGGGTTTTGGAGGGTTAATTTAATTAGGGGTTTCATATATTGTGTTAGCTAGCTAATAGAAAGAAGTGACCTCTCTTATCTTCGTGTTTGGTCGACGCTACGTACTATACGTATAGAGAACTCGACACGCTAGCTAGTAAGAAAATGAAGGAAACCATTAAGTACAGAAGATCGTCATGAACATATACAGAGAGAAGTGATCGACCTCTCCTTCTTTGAGAGATTGGTCGAACAACAAGTTTTCGTATATCTATCGATGCTACTAGCTACATATATACAATATAATTTCTATTACATTCCTTAAAATCTTAAATCAAGTGTCACATGGTATTCTCCGACTTTATTGATGACGTGGTCAAGAAAGAATCCCGCTAATTCCTCTTGAATTGCTTTTATGCGATCATGTGGTAGAAGTTCACACCGCATCTGCCAGATCTAAATCGAAGAAGAGGGTCACTACATGTGTATGAATGAAACTCAACACAAATGATGGTAATAAAATATAATTGTGAATATTTTTGCTTATGCACTTGATATTGTTTTTTAGTGTAGCCCCGCTTATTCTTGGCTGTCTCGTTGTAGATGAACTCGCAAACGTAGTATCCACAGAAATTATTTCCTTGTTCCTGCCACAAGCAATTTACGAGAAATAGAGATCAATCAAACTGATAAGAAAGCATGCTAAATGGTAGCTACAATCAACGAGAGATGCGCGGAATTAGGTAGTAGTACTTACTTTCAGTTGTTTAAATGTCAGCTCGGTCGGCAGTCCCGGAGAAATTGCGGTGAACTCTTTCCAAACTCTGCCAGACAAAGAAAAAAATTATTTGATATCAAGAAATGAACAAAGTTGCCGATATGGTGCGATAATGATCGATTGAACTTACTTCTGGATCATTCCAGTCATCTGCGCATAGTCCTTGGGATCTTTTCATCTCGAGTCTAAGACGCTTACTTCTCCCTTCTCAAGCTTAATCACTAGGAGAATAAAGTGGAAGCTGCACATGCATGCACAACTCATCAGTTACATGACTATAACCTCGAGTAATAAGGGAAACCGAATATGCACAAGACAGTAACACTCACTTGAAGTTGTAAGGAAAGAGTATTTTATCTTTGGTTTGATTTTTGAGAAACGATTTGAGCAAGTTGTCCTCTGTTTTTGCGACATTCTTTTGAACTGTCGATTCATGTATGACATTTGGGTTAATGTGGGGACCGATTCTCCGGGCATTAATTTCCAGAAAATGGCCCTTGTGCTCACCAGCCCCAGGATAACTATTAGCTGATGAGGCACCAACTTGATACAGAATTTCCAAGCAAGATACAAAATATGTAGTACAAGACCATTCTGGCCTGTGAGTATAACAAATGGTTTCTAATGATTGATGGCGGAAGCGGTTTGTGGATCATCAGTGTCTATGAAACTCCAATTCCCACAGGAACAGCTGACCAGTTTAACTCCTATCTTCGCGAGGCTGCTATCCCATTGTTTAGGTTCCGGGACTGTCGCCACGGTCGCTCCTCTCCGCGCAAGAAAAATCTGGTCAAGACAATAGCCAGGGACAAGCCAGTGAGTACTTTGAATGTACTCGCAAACATTATGAACACAGGTATAATATAACAATGATGTGCTGAAAATATTTTATGCTCATGACGTCAGTCACAAAAGATAAATAAAACTCTGATGCGTGCAAGCTTGTTATTTATGAATATGCAATAACATAGTAGTATTAAAATTATGAAAATAAATAACAAGCATGCCACAGTCGGGCGTCTTAGCGACACCGCATAAAGGGCTTTAAAAGAAATGCCACAGTCGGGCGTCTTAGCGACACCACATAAAGGGCTTTAAAAGAAATGCCACAGTCGGGCGTCTTAGCGACACCACATAAAGGGCTTTAAAAGAAATGCCACAGTCGGGCGTCTTAGCGACACCACATAAAAGGCTTTAAAGAAAATGCAACAGTCGGGCGTCTTAGCGACACCACATAAAGGGCTTTAAAAGAAATGCCACAGTCGGGCGTCTTAGCGACACCACATAAAGAGCTTTTAAAGAAATGCCAGTGAATATCCAGAAGGTAGAACCATCCCAGGGATATTCGATAATACCAATAATATCACGGGTTAGTCCACAACAAAAATAATAATCATAAATTATCACAAGTCACAAGTCGTGATTCCAGTTCTGGTTTAACAGTTTCACCTCCGAAGACCGACACTAAGACCGACACTTCACCCATCCCAGACTGTAGTCCTTAACCATGGACACGGCTATTCGAATAGGTTTAATCTCTGCAGAGGGTGTACTCTTTACCCACGAGTAACGGATTCCTTTAGTCCTCAAGAATAATTCCGTCTATGGTCTTTTAGTTGAAAACACACCTAACTTGCACACACCAGCTTAACTCACATGTGTCTGGAATCACCCACGACACTTGTTAAGCAAAACTCTAAGTGGGGAGGCTACAACCTCGACGTAACATGGGATCACAAAATTTATACCGCGCACAAACTGGGGAGCTACCCCCTTCGGCTACAACTGAAACACCCATGCTCCCGGACCCGGTGGCATGACTACCGGATGGCTCCAGTATCTTCCACCATGGCCTCTCTGTACGGTGTGTGCTAGGAAAGGGGTTGACAACTTACTGAATCGTACCCTACTTGTTGTAGAGACGAGTGGTAGTACGAAGCAAGTATGGGGGTTACCGGCACAAGACTCGATCTACGGTCGACTCAGGAGGTTCAATTATTTCCTGCAAGATTAGCATAACGATACATATACTTCAACCAACAGATAGAAACATCACGCGACATACCCCCTCATGCCATACCGGACACGACCGTCTCGACGGAGGACTAGGGACAAGAACGTGTCTACCCAAGACAGAGGCCTTCCTGGCTTCCCTTCCGGTATGCATGAAAGGCATATGACCGTGATTTCCATCACAACCATATCAACTCCAGCAGCATAAAAATCATTAATATGCACTCATGAGTAGGATCACATCCTCACATAAAATGACGCATGCTCGAGTCGGGGTGGTGTTGTCACCGAGTCAAACAACACATACAAAAATTACACCAGGGTTCAGAATGCTTGCCTTCAGGTCATGGGAAGGCAGGGTGCATTCCAAAACATCTTGAAATCTTCAAAAATCCTATTTAAAAGACTATATATAAATTAACACACAAAATCAAAACAGCATAAAAAGTTGTTTTGAAATTTTTTCAAATAAATATTAAAATAAACTAGACAATATTTGAGAGAGGTAGGAAAAATAATTAATTTATTTGGAGTTGTATTTAATAAGATACAGCTGGTCAAAGTTTGGTCAAAAATCTGTTATTTAAATAAAAACAGAAAAGAAAACGTTTCGAATATGCACGTACATGTCGAAGGCGTATTTTGGAAATGCGCTTCGACTTAACCCACGTGGACTGGGGCGGGGTCACTGACAGTCCATCCCTCCCTCCTCTTCCTTCGCCCGAACGGAGGCGAGGCGACGGTGATCAACGCCGGCGAAAGGCTGCTCCCCGCGGGCTCCAGAGAGTTGAGATGGATCCGCAAGACCGGGGAGGTCCTCCCGGTGGTCGTTGGGTCGGTGGGGGTGGAGGGAGTCACCGACGGTGAGCTTCGCGGCGGAGGAGGCCTCGGGAGCAAAGTGGTTTTGGGGCTGCGGTGGTTCCCGATCGAATTCGAGTAGGGGGAAGGGTTCACGGGAGGAAGAGAAGGCTCCGGGTGGAGAGAGTGGAGATGGGGAGGTCTTAGTAGTGCAGGAATGGCCGGGGCGGTGGCGGCGGCAGGAGTTGCCGGAGACAGGGAAGAAAACCTCCCCGGGTCGATTGCGAGCTAGGGGAGCGCCATTGGGGTGGTCTGAGGTTGCCTGTGTGCGGGAACGGGCTCGGGGCTTCCTTAAATAGGCGAGTCGAGGCGGTTCAGCGGCGGCCGTGGATAAGGGCGCCGACGACCGTCTTCTGTAGCTGCAGGGCATCGTGGCGAGGCTGGGGATGGCGGCAGGAGCTAGCGGACGAGCGGCTACTGCTCCAAGGGTGAGCTGGCGAGCGGAGGTGGCTTGGGCGGCGCTGGCCAGTGCAGGAGCTGTCGGGCGGCAGTGGCGGCTAGCTGCTGGCCTGCCGGAGACGTGGCGAGGGCTGCGGGGCTCGTGGGGGTGCAGAAGGGGACACTGCGTGCTGGCTGCGGTCGGTCACGGACCGGAGTGAGTGCGGGGCGGGACGCGGCGGCTCGGGCGCACGTGCATGCCAAACGCACGCTCTGGGCGCGCCCAAAGCATTACCGGGACGTGCTCGATGAAATGCCAGGGCAGCCTGGAGGTCGTGGTTGAGGCTGGCAAGAACCAGGGCTAGTCTAGGGTTAGCAAGGGAATCAAGGGACATGGTGGATAGGTCAGGGGCTCAAGTTCACAATGTAAACTTGAAATCATGCCAAATCTGGCTATGCACTCAGGGTGTTTGACAAAATGCCAAAGGCACCTAGGCAGTTCTTGGAGTGGCCAAATCTCCCAGAGTGGGGTCTCTATGGATGTATGAGAGGGTGGTGAAGTTAGTTTGCCAAAAGGAGAAACTTGCTAGTGCAAGTTTTGCAAAACTACAATTCTGGACAGGGAGAAAATGGCATCATTACATGGACCAAAAGTGTTCCAGAGAGTGCATGCTCCTGGACTTAGGGGTTTTGCAGGGTTGACTACAAGCATGAGAAAGCACAAGGTCACTTGAGCAAGAAAGAATGGGGTTGCAGTACAAAAGACAAGTCTGGTCCAGAATGAAGAAGAGGTTGATTCACTCAATTTTTCCAAAGAAGAACACTATGTTTTTGCATAAAGTTGGATGGCATGCTACCACTGACATCCCATAATTTTGGTGGAGGCTCTAGAAAAATATTTAATTAGGCTATAGTGCAAAAGTGTCCACTGGACCAAATTTGAAAAACAGGTGTAGAACTCAAAATATGAAATGAAATAAATATATAATTGCACAAAAGTGATTTAGAGACATCACATGACATCTCCAAATTTTGGTTGGATTTTTAGATAAATTTAACAACTGGTTGTAGTTCAAAAAGAGCTCCAAAACTTAAAGAAAGTCATTTTAATGAATAAAGCTCATGGTGAAATAATTTAATAAATAATTCTACTGATTAGGAAAAGTTATATAGGGAGCATAGAAGTCCAATATATTTTGGAAAGCTCCACTTTGGAAAAACTCCTTAATATTAAAAGAAAGGTTCTGAAATCAACAGAAATATTCTTGCAGGCAAAATTTTAAACTCTTGGAAAAAATTTAATAACTAAAACCTGGTTAAATTTTTGGGGTCTTACAATTACTAACCCCCTTAAGAAAATTCTCGTCCTTGAGATTTGCTAAGGGTTGTAAAACAAAATACTTTTACCTGGTCAAAAGATCATTCTACTAAAGTGGTAAAAAGTGGCTACGGTGAGAGGGCAATAAGTGGTGAGTAACTACAGTGTGGTATACTGGCGTTGTGTGGAGAAGTTCCACGCTTAGGAAAAACGAGCAATTTCTACGCTGGACGCAGTGAATTTAGAATAAATTCTAAATTCCACAATACGCTGGTCGTACCCGAGAGCATAGTGCTCCCTTTGGCTGACAGGTGGGACCAGGGCCCACTGGCAGTGTCTCCTTCTTCCTCTGGCTCTCTCTTCTTCCTCTCTCCCGCGCACTTTCCTGGCTTTCTCCACCGGCGACGTTTAGCGCGTAGGGCATCTAGGCCGTACTGCGGTAGTGCGCGGCGCGCTTGCTGCCGGTGCAGTGTCCACTCACCTCGCGGGCCAGTGCGCTGTCGGCACTGCTCACGGATTCGCCTCCGAACACCCGCGATCGGGCGACGAGCGGCATTGGTGGACTTCGCCCACCGTACACCGATCTCGAGCTATAAAACGACCGCGGTGCTCCTTCCTCATCTTCGCACTTGGCCTCGTTACTCCTCCTCCTTCTCCTCCATTACTGCTTACCGGAGCTCGAGACGAGGCTCCAATGGAGGAGACTGTGCCGGACTGGTACGTGATCCTGGTGTGTGGAGGGCTGGCGGCAGTGCTGGGGCTCTCTGTGCTCCTGTGCGCGATGATCTTTGATGATCGCCGTGATGCTGTCGCTCGGGTGCTGGCTCTCCGCGGTGGCGGTGATCACAGGGATTAGGCCTAATTCCGGTTATTCACCGTTATCGGCGTGCCAGAGGTGATTATTATCCGGATGATTATCCGCTAATCTCTCCCTTGGAGGCATGTGGAGTACTTAGAGGGGTGGTTGGTGAGATGCAACATGGTTGCGTGTATTTGCAAGCAGTGTAAGAGTCCGAGTGGTTGTGGGTCTGCTGCCGTGGTGCTGCGTGAATAAAAATAATCCATGCCGTGAGAGGATAAATGATGCAGCAACTCAGGGAAAAGAAATCTCATTCCAGGATTTTCGCAGTTACACAGGTTACTCACGAAGAAAACCACTCATATAAGTAGAAACTAAATATTCGACTCGCCACACAAATTCGAGGTACCATGCATAAGTTACAACGTAATAATAAATGCTGAAATAACACACACAGCAGTGACGTGTAAAATGAGAATGGTAACCGGACAGGGTCTCGAGAAAAAGTCTCTGGCAATGGAATACACTCCTCTTCTATCGGAGGAAGTGGATTGATCAGTCGATGTATGTATCTCTCCGGGTCGGTCCTCAGTGGTCTGCCGATGGCAATCTGAGGATTCAAATTAGCGAGACTCTGGAGATAATCCATCACTCGCTGGTTCAGATGCTCTTGAGCGATGATGTATTGGATAAGGTTGGCTAGCACTGGGTCTCTCTCAATCTGCCCACCGGGAAAAGATGTTACCCCTCCGGGCGTTGCACGGCTCGGAAAGTAATAATATCCTCGTTCGCGGGCATAGGGTACTGCGGATCGAAGACGAGCAATCGCTTCGTTCGCGGCAACTTCTATGGCCAAGCGTGGGGTCGGCATAGATTTCCCCACGAAGGAAACTTCCGTTGGATCTTGGTTGGAGTCTACGGGAGGGATGTGTACTGCTGCCCAATATTCCGAGGTGGAAGAGGTGATTCTCGGTTTGAACAGCTCGTACTGGGGTGGCTGGGTAGAACCCATGGTACTGCAGGTAAAGTCCCACAATATTTTGACAAAGCTACCTGGGGTTGCATCTGGGGTTCTCTGATAAATACTAGGGCTCGGCATGGCAAGAAATGGTTGTGAGAGTGGTGCACGAGGTGAGGGTTGCTGGGTAAGGTCACAAGGTGGCCTTTCTTATATAGCATCTGGGTTGGTTTATTTACCGTGGTGAAAGGTAATAAATATGCCAGATCACCTCCAAAGGTCGGGGTCAGTGTCAGAGATACACATATCTCATAAAGAGATGTGTTACTGTGGGTGTCGTCGGGGTTGGTTTTGGTAGTTGTGCCCGGAAAATGTGCAACTATGCGCTGACAAAATACGCAAGGCTACTATTAAAACAGAGGCACAACGATAGGTTGCGCTTATATACAAGGTCGCACGATTACAAGCGAGGATACACTGAGACTCGGTACTACTCGTATGACTTAGTCTACCTCATTTATGTCTAAACGGGCGTGCCTGGTGGATGTCGAGGCTTCTCCACGTGTCTCACTGTCGGGATTAGTCGGAGATGGTGGGGGAACTGCAGGGTTGGGGTAGCGATGATGACCATCGCGGGGATTGTTGGCCACAATTCCGTTGGAGTGTGCTCCCAAAAGGTGACGAAGCACTTCTGGGGTCATCAGAGTACCTTGGCCGCTGGCTGGGGCTGACCTCAGGGCCTCGATCGGGTGTCCGAACAGCACGACTGGGTTGTCGGCGTCGGGCTCGGTTTCCCTGCTTGCCGGGGCTCTGCGAACCAGCTCTCCTCGAGCTGCGATCAGATCAATGGTGATCTGGTCGAACAATGCCTCTAGTGCACTTACATAGCACACCAGGTGCAACAATGCGGGATCCGTCTCGTGATCTCCGTTGGCAACTTGGGGTGGTCTACTATACCCTTCACTCCTGGGGTAGTAGTAGAATGAGCGACAGTTAACTCTGGGCGACAACTGCCGGAGTTGAACTATAGCCTCTCGAGCAGCTAGCTGGATGGCTTGTGGCTCGAAGGAAGTTGTTCTTCCGGTGAACCTGTAGGGGCGTTCTGGCGACAGACCCCTACCGTAGATGTGCACAGTGGCCCAGAATTGGCGGTCCTCACCGCTCATGGGACCTTGGTACACAACATATTCTGGGGGCTCTTCTAACGCATAGGCACGACGGGTGAGGTTTGCGAGTATGGTCACGAAACCTCCAAGGTTGGTTGCTGTGGTCTCATTGTGCACTATGGGACCAGGCATTGTGGCTAGGTTGGGAAAGAGGCTGTGCTGTGCTGGGTTGAGGCTAGCGTGCCCTTTTATAGAAAAGGGGACGGAGTCTTCCTTCGCACGCTTGCGAATGAGACATTTTTGCCATCGGTCACTGGTGTGTGATCGACAGGTTAGGCTGATAGGTTGGGCACCGACTGCCAAAAGTGTCGGGATCACAGTGTGGCTATCTTGCACGGGAAGCTTGGTTGGGGTTTTGGTTAGGATCTGGTGGGTTGGTTTGCCTAAGTTTTTCGACCTGGCTAAGATAGGATTAGCCAATGGTCAGCCTGGCTCTGGTACCAAGTTTGTGGGGACCGATTCTCCGGGCATTAATTTCCAGAAAATGGCCCTTATGCTCACTAGCCCCAGGATAACTGTTAGCTGATGAGGCACCAACTTGATACAGAATTTCCAAGCAAGATACAAAATATGTAGTACAAGACCATTCTGGCCTGTGAGTACAACAAATGATTTCTAATGATTGATGGCGGAAGCGGTTTGTGGATCATCGGTGTCCATGGAACTCCAATTCCCACAGGAACAGCTGATCAGGTTAACTCCTATCTTCGCGAGGCTGCTATCCCATTGCTTAGGTTCCGGGACTGTCGCCACGGTCGCTCCTCTCCGCGCAAGAAAAATCTGGCCAAGACAATAGCCAGGGACAAGCCAGTGAGTACTTTGAATGTACTCGCAAACATTATGAACACAGGTATAATATAACAATGATGTGCTGAAAATATTTTATGCTCATGACGTCAGTCACAAAAGATAAATAAAACGCTGATGCGTGCAAGCTTGTTATTTATGAATATGCAATAACATAGTAGTATTAAAATTACGAAAATAAATAACAAGCATGCCATAGTCGGGCGTCTTAGCGACACCGCATAAAGGGCTTTAAAAGAAATGCCACAGTCGGGCGTCTTAGCGACACCACATAAAGGGCTTTAAAAGAAATGCCACAGTCGGGCGTCTTAGCGACACCATAAAAAGGGCTTTAAAAGAAATACCACAGTCGGGCGTCTTAGCGACACCACATAAAGGGCTTTAAAAGAAATGCCACAGTCGGGCGTCTTAGCGACACCATATAAAGGGTTTTAAAAGAAATGCCACAGTCGGGCGTCTTAGCGACACCACATAAAGGGCTTTTAAAGAAATTCCAATGAATATCCAGAAGGTAGAACCATCCCAGGGATATTCGATAATACCAATAATATCACGGGTTAGTCCACAACAAAAATAATAATCATAAATTATCACAAGTCACAAGTCGTGATTCCAGTTCTGGTTTAACAGTTTCACCTCCGAAGACCGACACTAAGACCGACACTTGACCCATCCCAGACTGTAGTCCTTAACCATGGACACGGCTATTCGAATAGGTTTAATCTCTGCAGAGGGTGTACTCTTTACCCATGAGTAACGGATTCCTTTAGTCCTCAAGACTAATTCCGTCTACGGTCTTTTAGTTGAAAACACACCTAACTTGCACACACCAGCTTAACTCACATGTGTCTGGAATCACCCACGACACTTGTTAAGCAAAATTCTAAGTGGGGAGGCTACAACCTCGACGTAACATGGGATCACAAAATTTATACCGCGCGCAAACTGGGGAGCTACCCCCTTCGGCTACAACTGAAATACCCATGCTCCCGGACCCGGTGGCATGACTACCGGATGCCTCTAGTATCTTCCACCATGGCCTCTCTATACAGTGTGTGCTAGGAAAGGGGTTGACAACTTACTGAATCGTACCCTACTTGTTGTAGAGACGAGTGGTAGTATGAAGCAAATATGGGGGTTACCGGCACAAGACTCGATCTACGATCGACTCAGGAGGTTCAATTATTTCATGCAAGATTAGCATAACGATACATATACTTCAACCAACAGATAGAAACATCACGCGACATACCCCCTCATGCCATACCGGACACGACCGTCTCGACGGAGGACTAGGGACAAGAACGTGTCTACCCAAGACAGAGGCCTTCCCGGCTTCCCTTCCGGTATGCATGAAAGGCATATGACGGTGATTTCCATCACAACCATATCAACTCCATCAGCATAAAAATCATTAATATGCACTCATGAGTAGGATCACATCCTCACATAAAATGACGCATGCTCGAGTCGGGGTGGTGTTGTCACCGAGTCAAACAACACATACAAAAATTACATCAGGGTTCAGAATGCTTGCCTTCAGGTCATGGGAAGGCAGGGTGCATTCCAAAACATCTTGAAATCTTCAAAAGTCCTATTTAAAAGAATATATATAAATTAACACACAAAATCAAAACAGCATAAAAAGTTGTTTTGAAATTTTTTTCAAATAAATCTTAAAATAAACTAGACAATATTTGAGAGAGGTAGGAAAAAGAATTAATTTATTTGGAGTTGTATTTAATAAGGTACAACTGGTCAAAGTTTGGTCAAAAATCTGTTATTTAAATAAAAACAGAAAAGAAAACGTTTCGAATATGCACGTACACGTCGAAGGCGTATTTTGGAAATGCGCTTCCACTTAACCCACGTGGACTGGGGCGGGGTCACTGACAGTGGGTCCAGGGGGCCCACTGTTCAGGTTTGACCAGTCCATCCCTCCCTCCTCTTCCTTCGCCCAAACGGAGGCGAGGCGACGGCAATCAATGCCGGCGGAAGGCTGCTCCCCACGGGCTCCAGAGAGTCGAGATGGATCCGCAAGACTGGGGCGGTCCTCCCGGTGGTCGTTGGGTCGGTGGGGGTGGAGGGAGTCGCCGACGGTGAGCTTCGCGGCGGAGGAGGCCTCGGGATAAAGTGGTTTTGGGGCTGCGGTGGTTCCCGATCGAAATCGAGTAGGGGGAAGGGTTCACGAGAGGAAGAGAAGGCTCCTGGTGGAGAGAGTGGAGAGGGGGAGGTCTTAGTAGTTGCCGGAGACGGGGAAGAAAACCTCCCTGGGTCAATTGCGAGCTAGGGGAGCGCCATTGGGGTGGTCTGAGGTTGCCTGTGTGCGGGAACGGGCTCGGGGCTTCCTTAAATAGGCGAGTTGAGGCGGTTCAGCGGCGGCCGCGGATAAGGGCGCTGGCGACCGTCTTCTGTAGCTGCAGGGCATCGTGGCGAGGCTGGGGATGGCGGCAGGAGCTAGCGGATGAGCGGCTACTGCTCCAAGGGCGAGCTGGCGAGCGGAGGTGGCTTGGGCAGCGCTGGCCAGCGCAGGAGCTGTCGGGCGGCAGTGGCGGCTAGCTGCTGGCCTGCCGGAGACGTGGCGAAGGCTGCGGGGCTCGTGGGGGTGCAGAAGGGGACACTGCGTGCTGGCTGCGATCGGTCACGGACCGGAGTGAGTGCGGGGCGGGACGTGGCGGCTTGGGCGCACGTGCGTGCCAAACGCACGCTTTGGGCGCGCCCAGAGCATGCCCGGGACGTGCTCGATGAAATGCCAGGGCAGCCTAGAGGTCGCAGTTAAGGCTGGCAAGAACCAGGGCTAGTCTAGGGTTAGCAAGGGAATCAAGGGACATGGTGGATAGGTCAGGGGCTCAAGTTCACAATGTAAACTTGAAATCATGCCAAATCTGGCTATGCACTCAGGGTATTTGACAAAATGCCAAAGGCACCTAGGCAGTTCTTGCAGTGGCCAAATCTCCTAGAGTGGGGTCTCTATGGATGTATGAGAGGGTAGTGAATTTAGTTTGCCAAAAGGAGAAGCTTGCTAGTGCAAGTTTTGCAAAACTACAATTCTGGACAGGGAGAAAATGGCATCATTACATGGACCAAAAGTGTTTCCAGAGAGTGCATGCTCCTGGACTTAGGGGTTTTGCAGGGTTGACTACAAGCATGAGAAAGCACAAGGTCACTTGAGCAAGAAAGAATGGGGTTACAGTAGAAAACACAAGTATGGTCCTGAATGAAGAAGAGGTTGATTCACTCAATTTTTCCAAAGAACAACACTATGTTTTTGCATAAAGTTGGATGGCATGCTACCACTGACATCCCATAATTTTGGTGGAGGCTCTAGAGGAATATTTAATTAGGCTATAGTGCAAAAGTGTCCACTGGACCAAATTTGAAAAACAGGTGTAGAGCTCAAAATATGAAATGAAATAAATATATAATTGCACAAAAGTGATTTAGAGACATCACATGACATCTCCAAATTTTGGTTGGATTTTTAGATAAATTTAACAACTGGTTGTAGTTCAAAAAGAGCTCCAAAACTTAAAGAAAGTCATTTTAATGAATAAAGCTCAGGGTGAAATAATTTAATAAATAATTCTACTGATTAGGGAAAGTTATATAGGGAGCATAGAAGTCCAATATATTTTGGAAAGCTCCACTTGGGAAAAACTCCTTAATATTAAAAGAAAGGTTCTGAAATCAACAGAAATATTCTTGCAGGCAAAATTTTAAACTCTTGGCAAAATTTTAATAACTAAAACCTGGTTAAATTTTTGGGGTGTTACAGTTAATGAATCCAACATCATAGATTTGTGCTTTTCTGCATTCGACGATCTTCAATCTGCATAATATAGTGAGGATAATTATATATACATACAATGAAAGAGCTGAGCTATATATATAGAGACTTAATTACAGAAAATAGTACTTATAGACAGTAGCAAGCCACAAGTGATTTGTCGAGGGGCTTTTGATTGTAGAACTGGAAAAACTCATCAAAATCAACAGTTAATAGTTCTTGGCCAATGAAGTCGTGGTCCTCTTTGATCAGCATCGACAAAGCATACTTCCCAGACTCTCTGCAGGTTTTCATGTACCAGTCATGGAATCTTCGCATCATCGTTGTTAGAGCAAGAGTATCTTTAATGAGAGGCTTCCCATAATGGTATTTGAATTCGTCCACCTCCATTGTTTCAAAATCTACATCGTCGGGCAGGTAATCACCAATAGTGAAACCGGGCTGCAGCGGCTGATTTGCGACGATATCGCTAGACACCTTGAGCGGGGGGAATGATTGGTTCTCCTGTTCTCCGAGCTGGGGAATTTTTTTCCCACTTCTTCGTTCTTTTAACCTTTTGTCAGTTGAAGTACTTCCCGACTGGCGCGCTTCTTGCAGTGTCTTTTTAAGACAGCGGAGATGGTTGTTAGCCGGCGAACGCGGTGGTGGTCGCTTCAGGGCATTGATAGTGCGCTTCGATTCCACCGGATCTATCTTGTCCTCCGGAGGTGGATGTTTCATAGCTCCTTTTGTTTCAAAGAAGTCCTTCACTTGGGTTTTAACGATCTACTCGTTTTCCTCCACGGTCATCTCGTATGGTAACTTCTCTACAGGCTTGAGAGATGGACTGAATCTATATTGTCTCCCGCCTCTGGCTGTACTGCTAGACCCCAGAGCAGCGGTGGCTCTCCTTCCGTTGCTGCTGACGAGTAGTAGAAGGAGGCGGAGTGGTGCGACGCGCCGGAGCAGCTGGAGCGGCGACGTCTATGTTCTGCCGTTGTCGAATGAAAACTCATCTGTTACAAAGGGATTTTATTTGTTCACATGTAACTGCAGTGATATTCTAGATCAAAGGCATCATCATAATAGTTGTGGATATAAAGTCTTCACGTTTTCTTCACTTGTGTCCTTTGCTTCTTGCACCGTAACCATGGATAATCTTCATCGTTTAACAGGGTGCTTGGGTCAGCCTTGACTTTGAAGGTAGGAATTTCATGAAACTTTTCATAATCTTCAGACATGTCTGTCTTGCCCTCCAATCCCATGATGTCTCTTTTTCCTGAAAGAACTATGTGGCGCTTTGGCTCATCGTATGATGTATTCGCTTCCTTATTTTTTCTTTTTCTCGGTTTGGTAGACATGTCCTTCACATAGAAAACCCGCGCCACATCATTGGCTAGTACGAATGGTTCATCTGTGTACCCCAGATTGTTCAGATCCACTGTTGTCATTCCGTACTATGGGTCTACATGTACCCCGCCTTCTGATAGATTGACACATTTGCACTTAAACAAAGGGACCTTAAAATCATGTCCATAGTCAAGTTCCCATATGTCCACTATGTAACCATAATATGTGTCATTTACCCTCTTGGTTCCTGCATCAAAGCGGACACCATTGTTTTGGTTGGTGCTATTTTGATCTTGGGCGATCGTGTAACATGTATTCCCATTTATCTCGTACCCTTTGTAAGTCATTACAGTTGAAGATGGTTCCCTCGCCAACGAGTACAACTCATCAGAAACAGTGTTGTCACCCCTGAGATGTGTTTGTAACCAACTGCCGAAAGTGCTGATATGTTCACATGTAATCCAGTCGTCACACTGGTCTGGGTGTTTGGAGCGCAGAATGTTCTTGTGTTCATCGACATAAGGGGTCGCCAAGGTAGATTTCTGTAGAACTGTGTAGTGTGCTTGAGACTAAGAATGCCCGTCCCTACATATTATTGAGTCCCCTCCTAGCGTGCCTTTTCCACTTAGTCTCCCCTCATACCGCGATTGAGGGAGACATATCTTCTTAAGGTCAGGAATGAAGTCAACACAAAACCCAATGACATACTCTGTTTGATGGCCCATGGAGATGCTTCCTTCTGGCCTAGCACGGTTACAAACATATTTTTTAGGACTCCCATGAACCTCTCAAAGGGGAACATATTGCATAGAAATACAGGGCCCAGAATGACAATCTCGTTGACTAGATGAACTAGGACGTGCGTCATGATATTGAAGAAGGATGGTGGGAACACCAGCTCGAAACTGACAAGACATTGCGCCACATCACTCCTTAAGCTTGGTAGGATTTCTAGATCGATCACCTTCTGAGAGATTGCATTGATCGAGGAATGAACATAGCTTCACAATGGCTAATCGAACGTTTTTCGATAGAAGCCCCCTCAATGCAACCGAAAGCAGTTGCGTCATAATCATGTGGCAATCATGAGACTTTAGGTTCTGGAACTTTTTCTCTGCCATATTTATTATTCCTTTATATTTGACGAGTATCCAGATGGGACCTTCATACTAAGCAGGCATTCAAAGAAGATTTCCTTCTCTTCTTTGGTAAGAGCATAGCTGGCAGGACCTGCATACTGCTTTGGAGGCATGCCGTCTTTTTCGTGCAAACGTTGCAGGTCCTCCCATGCCTCCGGTGTATCTTTTGTCTTCCATACACGCCCAAGAAGCCTAGCGGGTTCACGCAAAGATTCTTCGTCACGTGCATCACGTCGATTGAAGAGCGAACCTCTAGCCAAAATATAGATTTCTTCTTTCACATGGGTGCGCGTCCCTTAGCGTCATTCGGAACAGATAGTCCGCCGGGACCCTTTGCGAAGATTACTTTTAAATCATTGACCATAGCAAATACGTGATCACCGGTACACATGGCGGGCTTCTTCCGGTGATCTGCCTCGCCTTTTAAATGCTTGCCTTTCTTTCGACATTGATGGTTGGTCGGAAGAAATTGACCATGCCCCAGGTACACATTCTTCCTGCATTTGTCCAGGTATATATTTTCGGTGTCATCTAAACAGTGCGTGCATGTGTGATATCCCTTGTTTGTCTGTCCTGAAAGGTTACTGAGAGCAGGCCAATCATTGATGGTTACAAACAGCAACACATGCAGGTCAAATTCCTCATGTTTGTGCTCATCTCACACACGTACACCGTTTCTAATCCACAGCTGTAAAAGTTCTTCAACTAATGGCCTTAGGTACACATCAATGTTGTTGCCGGGTTGCTTAGGGCCTTGGATGAGAACTGGCATCGTAATGAACTTCCGCTTCATGCACAACCAAGGAGGAAGGTTATAGATACATAGAGTCACGGGCCAGGTGTTGTGATTGCTCCTCTGCTCCCCAAAAGGATTAATGTCATCCGTGCTTAAACCAAACCATATGTTCCTTGCCTCACCTGCAAACTCCTCCCAGTATTTTCTCTCGATTTTTCAACACTATGGCCCGTCAGTGGGTGCTCTCAACTTCCCTTCTTTCTTACGGTCCTCTCTCTGCCATCGCATCAACTTGGAATGCTCTTTGTTTCTGAACAGGCATTTCAACTGTGGTATTATAGGAGCATACCACATCACCTTGGCAGGAACCCTCTTCCTGGGGCGCTCGCCGTCAACATCACCAGGGTCATCTTGTCTGATCTTATATCGCAATGCACCACATACCGGGCATGTGTTCAAATCCTCGTACGCACCACGGTAGATGATGCAGTCATTAGGGCATGCATGTATCTTCTGCACCTCCAATCCTAGAGGGCATACAACCTTCTTTGTTGCATACGTACTGTCGGGCAATTCGTTATCCTTTGGAAGCTTCTTCTTTAATATTTTCAGTAGCTTATCAAATCCTTTGTCAAGCACACCATTCTCTGCCTTCCACTGCAGCAATTCCAGTACGGTACCGAGCTTTGTGTTGCCATCTTCGCAATTGGGTTACAACCTTTTTTATCCTCTAACATGCGATCAAATTTCAGCTTCTCCTTTACACTTTCGCATTGTCTCTTTGCATCTACAATGACCCGGTGAAGATCATCATCGGGCACATCGTCTGGTTCCTCTTGATCTTCAGCTTCCCCCGTTGCAGCATCACTGTATTCAGGGGGGGCACGTAGTTGTCATCCTCTTCTTCTTCGTTGTCTTCCATCATAACCCCTCTTTCTCCGTACTTGGTCCAAACATTATAGTGTGGCATGAAACCCTTATAAAGAAGGTGGGTGTGAAGGGTTTTCTAGTCAGAGTAAGACCTCATATTCCCACATATAGGGCATGGACATAAAACCATTCTGCTTGTTTGCCTCAGCCACTGCGAGAAAATTATTCACGCCCTTTATGTACTCAGAGGTGCGTCTGTTACCGTACATCCATTGTCGGTTCATCTCTGCGTACATCATGAATAGATAAGTGACCAAATTAATAGAAGTTCATCATCGCATTAAACCCAAAGTACATACATAGTTCTCATTGAACAACATATAGCTCTCCAGAGCATATAATTAAACCATACATTGAAACTATGTAAAACATTTCAATGCAACAACAAATGCGATCATAACCGCAACCAAGGTAACAATTGATCCAACGGCATAATGATACCAAGCCTCAGTATGAATGTCATATTTTCTAATCTTTCTAATCTTCAAGCGCATTGCATCCATCTTGATCTTGTGATCATCGACGACATCCGCAACATGCAACTCCAATATCATTTTCTCCTCCTCAATTTTTTTCAATTTTTCCTTCAAGTAATTGTTTTCTTCTTCAACTAAATTTAACCTCTCGACAATACGGTCGGTTGGAATTTCCAGTTCACATACCTCCTAGATAAAAAAAAATATATCACGTTGCTTGGCATAATTGTCATAAACACTAAATCTATAATGTTTCCTTTTTATTGATAATTAGGGATGCGTCTGGTTACTCGCATGATCGACATGGACTTTTTTGCATGTTTGCAATTGTGGCCGACTCGGGACAGGCCGAGCTAATGCATGGTAAAAACCATGCTATGCACATCGTTTGGTACCACTGAGCAAAAGGTTGGTTGTGAACGTGGCGTTTGGTAAAAATCACTCTTTCATGCCTGGCGTTTGGTTGACATGCAGTTCAGGTTTAAGGTTGTGAACGTGCAAAACATGGCGTTTGGTTGTGATGTGCTCACCTCTTCTCACTACTTTGGTGACCTTACCGCATACTACACACTGCAGTGGAGAACATCACACTACGAACGAGTCAACAAATTAACAGCCATATGGCTCAACAGGTGACGGTTCATCAATGCCGAAATAGTGAGAGTGAGTATGCATCTTACGAACGAGTCATTGATACTGTGGTAAGATTACACAACTCCCTCTGTAAACAAATATAAGAGTATCAATCATAATAAAAGCAGCATTTTTTAGTAATTCCATAACGCACAATGAGCAGCTAGATACATACTCCTAATATGAGTAATTCTTAGTATCCAGGGAACCATAGAACTACAGATTGTTGCTTTTGTCAAAACACGCAACCATACCGCTTCAACAGAAGCTCAACAATGTGTTTATGCACATGTAGGGATGCCGCAAAACATGATTCTAACAAGGAAGAGGGCGAAGGCGCCGAGATGGACCCCCAATGGGCTTTGTTGCAAGAAAACTGATGACAAGTGTTCTGTTCTTGAAGTTCTTTTACTAATCGGCTAATCCTGTATCAGGAAATCATGACCCTTGAAGAATGATAATATCTTCTGATCAACCAAGTAGTACATCCCATCAGGAAAAAACTGTAGTACAAGTGCATGATGTGTATCTTGATGATTGGGCTAAAGAGTAGTAGACAGACTTTGTACCCACCAACGTTCATCTCTGTGTAGTAGCTAGGTTGTGAGCCCCCAAAGCATAAACAGAAACACAATGAAGAAATTCTACTGGCCAATCTTGTCATCACCTGATAACTTTCCCCTCATGGTTTATCATGCAATGGTAACATTGCCCACACAACACGCAACTCTTCTACTGTACGTACTAGTTAACTATCAAGTAGTATAACACTCAAATTCAGCTGCGCCGTGCAAGCATTTTACTGGTCTAGTACTCAAATTAACTGCCCCATGGATGGATGCTTTGCAACTCTCCATAACACCCTGCTACATGGGTCGGGTCAGGTCAGCTTGGCTCATATAGTAAGCAGGACCCGATGGTCGAATGCTTTCGTATGCATCAGGTCAGTCCTCCAGTGGACAGCTCCAGTTTCCTCAGCACAGAACAAGCTTCACATGATCCCCAGCCAACGCTTCCTTCCATCCTGCATGTCCAAATCATACAAGCCAGTCGTCATAACGAGCGCACATACAAGCAACTAATACCTAGTCAGGTCATAATCAAGTACTACTAATTACTAAAAGGCAGTTGGGTGTACAACCAACAAGATAAATGCTTACTCTGAGAAAGGAATGCCGACGCTTCTTGACCGGAAGACACGGTGCCTTGTCGTAGGCCTACGCCCTCTGCCGACTCTGGGTTGCCACCGACTGAACCGCTCTCATCTGTCACGACACTGGATGGAGAACGGTCCTCTGCTGCCGGTGTAATGGTGCCACCATTAGCGTCTTCGCATGCGTTCTCATCATGGCTGACTGGCTGCATCGCCTCAGCTACTGGATCGTTCAGAGTGTTCAAATTAGATTCAGGAGGAGCTGGGTGGTAATCCTTGGAATCCTGCGAGCATCCACCACCGTCTTCGATCGCGACGCTTATGGATCCTATTAGCACTTGCGAGTTCTTGTCCGTGTTGAGAGGAGCGGTCTCCTGGTCAGCATCTACATCTCGCTCGCCTTTTGGGCACCGTTCTTCAACACCAGTTCGCACCTTCCATGCCCAGGTCTTGCTTTTGTTTGTCGCTGCACCGACATTCGGCTCCCTGTGACGTGAGTGCCTTACTGAAGATGGATGCTTCGAGGCAGTCGCGGAAGAACCCGAGACAGTACTATTTGGGGGATGGTTTTCTACCCTGTCGAGATTGCTTGTTGCCATGGCTTGTTCCCTGAAAACAGCACCAGTATCCATTTCTTGTCCCGAACCACAATTTGCATCTTCTCCATTGCAACCATTGTCCTCTGAAGGCGGCACTGGTGCTGACAGTCGAAGATACTGTGGATCCCCTTGCTCGTCGAGACCAGGGCCAGAAGTAGCCTCGAGACTCTGGATCCCAGGAGAGCTCGCCGCAGCATCCACCACTTGAGGTAACTGGACCATGGTACCCTCGTCCTTGAGGTCTTTCAGTCTCTGTTCTTTCTGTCTCAGTTTCTTCATCCGCTTCCTTTCCATGATTTCAGCTTGCCTTCACATTATACAACAAGGATAGTTTAGATATAGATTTCACCAAACTAGAATCAAATGATGCTGCATTAATAAGCAATAAGCTGACAAAAAATATAGGCTCCGCAGCTTTGCGTAATTAATTAATTATATAACACGTCAATGACATTAAACAATAACCTTTTCTGAGCAGCGTCCTCTTCCTCCACTAGCAACTTCTGGCATCTTAACGCTTCAGCGGCCTTATCAGCAGACCATGCTTCGACCTGTTGTTTCATTTACAAGCCATACATTAAAACCATAGAAACTTGTACCATAAAGGATAAATGCACTAACTCTGCTGTGCATAACTGAAACACATCGTACCAGCTTCTGTTCAAGGATGTAACTGGTGCACGCAACAACGTTTTTCAACTCTGTTGCGACCTTCTCAACCTCCCCGTCAAACAAAAACTTCTGAACACAGGCAGCGTCGGCTGCGTTGGTACAAAGAAATGTGTTCTCGCTTGCTTCGTCGAGCATGATAAACAGTTCATTTGATGAGATGGGTAGTCTTGAGGCTGCTGTCTGAATAAGGTCCTACAGTTATGGGAAGAAAAGAAGCTTATTACATATGATACTACACGACACAAAATGCATACAGTAGAGCAGTGACAAGTCGGGTCAACAAAGCCTTACCAGGAGTTCATTGCCGGCTCTGGCATATGGCAGCGGCAACGAAGCGTACCCTGGCTTGCACATCCACGACGACAATGATGTCAAAATGAATAAAGCGCTGGTCTCCTGAAGATGTATTTGTTGTGTATAACATTAGATGTTCCGAAACACAAACCGACACACAAAGAGAAAAGTCGTATACTCTGAAGATACCGATCTATGGTCATTACCTCTATAGCCACGCCCTCCAGGGACAGTATCGCTTGGGCCTGGCCCACCGTGAGCTGAAGGAAGAGCAGGACAAGTTAATCCCGTGAACACACCACTAGCAAGGAGAGGGAAACAACATGTTGCTTCGTTTAAATAGGTTATATTGTAGGTCAGTAATCCACAATCTGCCAGCAAATTCCTCTTTCTGCTAAATTATTTATATTACAGCAGAGAATAAAGAAGTGGTGACAGAGCAGAGCATATCTTCTTACTTTATCCCAGAATGCGGCAAGGTGGTCTCTGTTCTTGGGGAAATCCTGCAAAACCATCAGCAAACAAACATGTCATGCCAATGCAGGGTTGCAAGGGGGGTGGGCGCTCGATATAAGAAAACCGAAGGCGTGGACGAATGGAGTTGCATATCGCGCGTAACATTGGCTGAACACGGCTATACATATGCTTGAAAGAAAGCCGGATGCATAGCGCAGGTTAATGCGGACCGGACATTTTATTCACGAGATGCTTGATTATCTTATATCTCAGCGGCCAGGCTTGTACATGCTCGTCACGCGATGCTTTCGAACAGATTATCGGACGCCCATATTCGTCTCGTCGAACCCATATGTTGACGGGTGCTCGAGTACATACATACATCATCATGTATTGAACAGTCGGTGAAAATGCAGGTGCAAATCGGTATCTATCGGTCTAGTGGCACATCATAGCACCAACCAATGTTATCCAGGTAAAGTGATTGTGACACCCAACTGATGAACTGACTGAAGGAAGAAAAATAAGGATACAATGGGGGCATGTTAATTATACCTTGTCGATCTTGAGGGCGCGGCGGTGAACGCGGGTGTGGCGGCGGAGGGCGACGGAGGAGCAGAACTCCCGGGGGCACTTGGCGCACTTGGTCAGCTGCATCTTGGGCGGCGAGAAGAGCGGCCACCCGGGGAGATCTGCAGGCCAAACAGACAAACGAACACACGAATCAGGATCCAAGAATGAGATCTCGCCGGCGGCCAAGGCCACCGACGGACACGACAGCCGGAGCCGGCACCGGCTGCTATTTGAATGAGATAAGTACATTTGTCGGTGGCGTCGGCGGCGGCGGCGCTGTTGCTGCTGCTGTTGTTGTTGGCCTTGGCGGCGGCCTGGGCGAGCGCGACGACGGCGTCGGGGATCTTGAGCGGCTGGATCTGGCCGGACACGGACCCGGACCCCGACGCGGCCATCTTCCCGGCGGGCCGGCGGCGAGGCGGACGCGCGTGAGAGATCGGGGAGGGGAAGACGGAGATCGACAGGGGAGAGCAAAAGGCGGAGTCTTTTTTACTGGTCTCAAAAGACAAAGGAGGAGTTTTTATTTATTTTTATTACTACTACTACTGACTGATGAATGAATGTCTCCTATATTATGGGACGGAGGAGTTGTAGCCTGGCGGCGACGGTGAGTGCACACAGCCACTCTCCCTTGTTAACTCTCTAGTACCAACAATAGACGACGAGTATCAATTGGCAAGTCAGGCTACTATATTCTCCGATAATTCTTGATCGGAATTGCGATGTGGGCCGTGGTAGGATCGGTGATTCTTGATGGTTGAGTGCGAGGTGAAGAGGTGAATATGTGGCGGCATAGTTGTGTGTCCGTCGGCGATGGCGGTGGGAGTGTGTTTGCCGCGCCGCAACGCCTTCTCTGTTCCTCTACGCACAAGAGAGAGAAAAGTTTGGTTGGTTAAGTGGGTTCGCAATGGGCTAATAGGGTTAGCCCACTTAAAAAAGTTCTGTCCAAAAGGAGCCAACTAAAGCAGTTTAAGTGGGATGGGCCGGTTAGTCCCACTTTACCCCACCTCCACCTGCAGCGTGATAAACCGACCATCTTGCCCGTGGAGGCTTGAGAGAAGAGGTTGTTGCAGAAGACGATATTGCCGCCAACAATGTATGTGGAGCCATGCCGACAGACAACACAAATAACGACCCTCGTCCGTGGATAACAACAGGGGCGGAAACTCGCATGCCCTTCGACAACGCCGCAACAAGCGCCGTTGAGGTGGGATTGGAGTTGAAGATCTTTTGCTTGAGATGACACCGTCGGAGGAGGGAGAAGCGTCATCAAGACAAGAATCACATTCTATCCGCTCGCGCGTCGAAGTGACAGTTGGTTGAGTGCGAGGTGAAGAGGTGAATATGTGGCGGCATAGTTGTGTGTCCGTCGGCGATGGCGGTGGGAGTGTGTTTGCCGCGCCGCAACGCCTTCTCTGTTCCTGTACGCACAAGAGAGAGAAAAGTTTGGTTGGTTAAGTGGGTTCGCAATGGGCTAATAGGGTTAGCCCACTTAAAAAAGTTCTGTCCAAAAGGAGCCAACTAAAGCAGTTTAAGTGGGATGGGCCGGTTAGTCCCACTTTACCCCACCTCCACCTGCAGCGTGATAAACCGACCATCTTGCCCGTGGAGGCTTGAGAGAAGAGGTTGTTGCAGAAGACGATATTGCCGCCAACAATGTATGTGGAGCCATGCCGACAGACAACACAAATAACGACCCTCGTCCGTGGATAACAACAGGGGCGGAAACTCGCATGCCCTTCGACAACGCCGCAACAAGCGTCGTTAAGGTGGGATTGGAGTTGAAGATCTTTTGCTTGAGATGACACCGTCGGAGGAGGGAGAAGCGTCATCAAGACAAGAATCACATTCTATCCGCTCGCGCGTCGAAGTGACAGTTGGTTGAGTGCGAGGTGAAGAGGTGAATATGTGGCGGCATAGTTGTGTGTCCGTCGGCGATGGCGGTGGGAGTGTGTTTGCCGCGCCGCAACGCCTTCTCTGTTCCTGTACGCACAAGAGAGAGAAAAGTTTGGTTGGTTAAGTGGGTTCGCAATGGGCTAATAGGGTTAGCCCACTTAAAAAAGTTCTGTCCAAAAGGAGCCAACTAAAGAAGTTTAAGTGGGATGGGCCGGTTAGTCCCACTTTACCCCACCTCCACCTGCAGCGTGATAAACCGACCATCTTGCCCGTGGAGGCTTGAGAGAAGAGGTTGTTGCAGAAGACGATATTGCCGCCAACAATGTATGTGGAGCCATGCCGACAGACAACACAAATAACGACCCTCGTCCGTGGATAACAACAGGGGCGGAAACTCGCATGCCCTTCGACAACGCCGCAACAAGCGTCGTTGAGGTGGGATTGGAGTTGAAGATCTTTTGCTTGAGATGACACCGTCGGAGGAGGGAGAAGCGTCATCAAGACAAGAATCACATTCTATCCGCTCGCGCGTCGAAGTGACAGTTGGTTGAGTGCGAGGTGAAGAGGTGAATATGTGGCGGCATAGTTGTGTGTCCGTCGGCGATGGCGGTGCGAGTGTGTTTGCCGCGCCGCAACGCCTTCTCTGTTCCTCTACGCACAAGAGAGAGAAAAGTTTGGTTGGTTAAGTGGGTTCGCAATGGGCTAATAGGGTTAGCCCACTTAAAAAAGTTCTGTCCAAAAGGAGCCAACTAAAGCAGTTTAAGTGGGATGGGCCGGTTAGTCCCACTTTACCCCACCTCCACCTGCAGCGTGATAAACCGACCATCTTGCCCGTGGAGGCTTGAGAGAAGAGGTTGTTGCAGAAGACGATATTGCCGCCAACAATGTATGTGGAGCCATGCCGACAGACAACACAAATAACGACCCTCGTCCGTGGATAACAACAGGGGCGGAAACTCGCATGCCCTTCGACAACGCCGCAACAAGCGTCGTTGAGGTGGGATTGGAGTTGAAGATCTTTTGCTTGAGATGACACCGTCGGAGGAGGGAGAAGCGTCATCAAGATAAGAATCACATTCTATCCGCTCGCGCGTCGAAGTGACAGTTGGTTGAGTGCGAGGTGAAGAGGTGAATATGTGGCGGCATAGTTGTGTGTCCGTCGGTGATGGCGGTGGGAGTGTGTTTGCCGCGCCGCAACGCCTTCTCTGTTCCTCTACGCACAAGAGAGAGAAAAGTTTGGTTGGTTAAGTGGGTTCGCAATGGGCTAATAGGGTTAGCCCACTTAAAAAAGTTCTGTCCAAAAGGAGCCAACTAAAGCAGTTTAAGTGGGATGGGCCGGTTAGTCCCACTTTACCCCACCTCCACCTGCAGCGTGATAAACCGACCATCTTGCCCGTGGAGGCTTGAGAGAAGAGGTTGTTGCAGAAGACGATATTGCCGCCAACAATGTATGTGGAGCCATGCCGACAGACAACACAAATAACGACCCTCGTCCGTGGATAACAACAGGGGCGGAAACTCGCATGCCCTTCGACAACGCCGCAACAAGCGTCGTTGAGGTGGGATTGGAGTTGAAGATCTTTTGCTTGAGATGACACCGTCGGAGGAGGGAGAAGCGTCATCAAGACAAGAATCACATTCTATCCGGTCGCGCGTCGAAGTGACAGTTGGTTGAGTGCGAGGTGAAGAGGTGAATATGTGGCGGCATAGTTGTGTGTCCGTCGGCGATGGCGGTGGGAGTGTGTTTGCCGCGCCGCAACGCCTTCTCTGTTCCTCTACGCACAAGAGAGAGAAAAGTTTGGTTGGTTAAGTGGGTTCGCAATGGGCTAATAGGGTTAGCCCACTTAAAAAAGTTCTGTCCAAAAGGAGCCAACTAAAGCAGTTTAAGTGGGATGGGCCGGTTAGTCCCACTTTACCCCACCTCCACCTGCAGCGTGATAAACCGACCATCTTGCCCGTGGAGGCTTGAGAGAAGAGGTTGTTGCAGAAGACGATATTGCCGCCAACAATGTATGTGGAGCCATGCCGACAGACAACACAAATAACGACCCTCGTCCGTGGATAACAACAGGGGCGGAAACTCGCATGCCCTTCGACAACGCCGCAACAAGCGTCGTTGAGGTGGGATTGTAGTTGAAGATCTTTTGGTTGAGATGACACCGTCGGAGGAGGGAGAAGCGTCATCAAGACAAGAATCACATTCTATCCGCTCGCGCGTCGAAGTGACAGTTGGTTGAGTGCGAGGTGAAGAGGTGAATATGTGGCGGCATAGTTGTGTGTCCGTCGGCGATGGCGGTGGGAGTGTATTTGCCGCGCCGCAACGCCTTCTCTGTTCCTCTACGCACAAGAGAGAGAAAAGTTTGGTTGGTTAAGTGGGTTCGCAATGGGCTAATAGGGTTAGCCCACTTAAAAAAGTTCTGTCCAAAAGGAGCCAACTAAAGCAGTTTAAGTGGGATGGGCCGGTTAGTCCCACTTTACCCCACCTCCACCTGCAGCGTGATAAACCGACCATCTTGCCCGTGGAGGCTTGAGAGAAGAGGTTGTTGCAGAAGACGATATTGCCGCCAACAATGTATGTGGAGCCATGCCGACAGACAACACAAATAACGACCCTCGTCCGTGGATAACAACAGGGGCGGAAACTCGCATGCCCTTCGACAACGCCGCAACAAGCGTCGTTGAGGTGGGATTGGAGTTGAAGATCTTTTGCTTGAGATGACACCGTCGGAGGAGGGAGAAGCGTCATCAAGA